ACCACATTTTATGAGTGCTAAAGCAGAAGATCATTGTTGTGTTTAACTGAGATGAACAATGAATATTTTTTGAATCAAAAATAGATTTCTATTAAAGCAGCTAAACTTGACTTTAATATCCACCATATTTAAAGATTCATGACAAATCAAACTTTTTAAAAAAGAAAAACAAATACCACTTGATTTCTCTTTACCCCAGCCAGTTTTTTCCTACTTGCAGTTTCAAAAATACTCCTTTTTTAAATATATATATCTTCATTGTCTACAATATTTTAGCCTAAGTCCTTTAGTTACCCTTTGTTTATCTAACCCTTTTTATTCTGCCTTATTTCAAAGATTCAGTTAACTGTCATGGTGTGTAAAATGTGACAAATTTATCAAAAAAGAAAAAAAAAAAGACTAGGGAGAGACAGAGTTGAGCCCAGAATATTAGAGCTGGCAGTGCAGAGCAAGGTTCCCTTCTTGCCAGTGGCCCACAGGTCCCCTCCCTGAAAGGGCAGCACTGTTCTTCACGAAGCTGTTTGTTCCACCGATACATGTGAGGCAGGTAAATTAAAGATACAAGCTGACTGACTGTTATTGCTTTCAATTGAGCATTTGATAAAAATCATACGGTGGCGTATTCACAATTCTTTTCCTGGAAAATGCCTAATGGGACTTGTGTGATGAAGAAATGTTTGTCTTGATGGGCATCCTGGCAGGCAGAGTAGCCCTTTGGAAAGGCACATCTGAGCAGATTCTTTCATTATTTAAAAATCTCCTGACTCTGCATTTGCTCAGAGGCAGCATTCAGAATCTTACTCATCTCACAGCTCTTATCCCCACCTGTCCTCCAGGTATGTGGCACCTGCCATACTTTCTCACCTGCTGCCCCCACTGCCCAAAACATTACTTCCTCCTAAGAACTCCATCTACTTCCCAACATCTCACACCTCAATTGTTGCTCCCATGGCCATGTATTTCCTCTGTGTGCCACAGAGCTGTCTCCACTCTAGAAGGTGCCTCTAGGAGAAAGACTCCTTCCATCTTGCTCACCACATTATATCCAAGGTATGTCCTTTAAAAAAAAAAGTGGGGAGCTTCTCAATAATTTTTATCTCAGGGAAAACAATAGAAAAGTTAGGCTGTTTTTTCAGTGAGGTAAACTTAAGGAGCTTTTATACCCACAAGGGGCTGGTCCCAGCTAAAGGTGAACAGCCTTTAGACTCCAGCTGCTCCAGGCTCCTCAGCAGATCCAAGAAATAAGTGAATCAGTAAATCATACTAGAGCACATTTCCACACACCAGCTGCTAGTTTGGATTAAGTAAATGAGTCTGAGTGCAGATCCAGCTCCAAGTTACTTAACTTGAGTTGAGTCTCAGTTTCTTATCTAGACGTTGGGGATACTGTCTATCTCAATAAACTTGTTTTGCTTTAATTTTTTGCCTTGCTTTGACTTTAATGCCATATCCAGAGTTGACATGGGTTCTAGAAAAAGGCTTTTTCAGATGGTGAAAACATGAACTAGTATAAGCTCTCTGGAGTACAGACTTGTGGTACCTACCAAAACCCCTAAAAATATTCATATAATCTGACCTAGCAATCTCACATCTAAGAATTATCCTAATCAGAACTGTGAATAATAGTCTGTCATCTTGAGGTAACTTCTAATTTAAGAAAAGAAAGTACTCAGTATCCAAAAAAGATACGTTGGTTGTACTAATTGTGGTATATCCACAAAAAAAAGGCCACTGCGTATGTATTAATGATGATGTGAAATAATTCTTAATTATTAATAATATTTTGACATAAAAAAAAAAACCACCACATAATTCGGGCCCTCCCTGATGGCACATTGGGTTAAAGCACAGCACTGAGAAGCTAAAGCCACTTCAGCATGAGTTCAATCCCTGCCCCCAGAGGTGATCCACATGATGCGGCAGACCTCTCGTGACCCGCCCGCTGCTCCCCTCAGCAGTGTACTTTGTCAGTTGGCCTGTTCTGCTCCCCACTCTGTCTCTGGTGAATCCTCTCACTGCCCCTGCAGCTCAGGCCAGTACCCCAGTTCTGTATGCCTAAATACATAAATCTTTTTTTAAAAAAAACCATAATTCATTGTTATTGCTAATTTTTATTAGAAGCTATGTCACTGGAAAAGATACACCATTGGAACTGATGTAGAATTTCTTTGTGATTTTCTGTAGTTCCAAATTTTCTGAAACGAACATATAATACTTTTCCAATATATGTTTTAGGAAAAGCAAAGCAACGCAGCAAAATAAGCTTCACAGAGTCCTCAATGGGAGCACCGTTGCCCATAATATGTGAAAGCCCTGAAGTTCACCCATTCAGGGCTTCTCTGCCAGGAGGGAAACGGAGTCCTGGAAGTACCCAGGTGCTGAGAATGATCATGGCTACCTGGGTAAATATACTCATTTTTGTTTACACTACTTGTCAACCTACCCAGTTTTTATTGGTGCCACTGAGCACACTGATTTGCACGCCCAAATTGAATCTTATGATTTTCTGTGATTCCAACAAGGGTCAGAAAGTAAACTTCCTCATAAAATTGCCTATCTCAGTAAATTAAGTTCATGTGTGCTTTTCTAAAAGGACTTTTCATAACACTAATACCTTTGAATCCAGCTGGCTTCCACAGACCTTGGAGGAGTGAACACCACCCTCCCGCCCCCTTTTTTTTAACACAAGGTCCAATTCAGGAAAAATAAAAATGTTTATGAGCCCCATTTTTTCTCCCACCCAAAATAAAACTCGCTTTTTAGAGTCCCATAGGAAAAAAAAAAGTCTGTTTTTATAAGCTATAAACTACCTTATTGAAAGAAAACAACAGATGTAATAGTTACAGTGCTTTTTAGCGATTTTCCTTTCTGGACACATGCGAGATATAACAGCACAGGGGCATCTTCCTGGTCTTTCACGGTGTCTGCTACATTGGGAAGCTACGTGGCCCCAGCTCATGGTACTGACACCACCCAACCGACTTTTGTTTTAGCTGGTATTGGAGGTAGGGAACTGAGGCTCAGATGAAGGAAATGAAGACAGCCTGAGTAGTCTTATATCTGGGTGTTGGGGTTTGAAGAGAGTATAATAAGAACCTTGGGGAAAATCCAACAAAGGAAGCAACTTGAGGATAGAAGGAGCTTAAATAGAAGATAAAGGAGACAGACGATAAAAGATTAGGGGTGAGATTAAAGAAGAGCAAAAGTGGAAAAATTCCCTCTTTGCCCCAGAAAAGAAGGGTAAGAAATGATGAGGGCAGTTGTCATTGAATGTAAGAGGAAAGGACATCTGTTGAGGGTGTTGTGGGATAGAATAAATCTGGGCCCTGAGAAGGTGAGAGAGGAGCTGGGACAATCACTCTAAGGAATTGGAAAGGAAACCAACATGGCCAAGTGCCAGCCTGGCTAAGGCAGCTTCTTGACTCAAGCCAGTTAGGGTGATTACATGCTTTCTCCAGCAGGAGCAGAGACGTTAGGTGATTGAGCAGATTCGGGTTGGAAGTCACCAAGGCAGAAATGATGTGAGGAGAAGGCAGAATCAAGAGTAAGGGTAGCAGCCTAAGTGTGGTAGAAAACTTGACCAGAGGATTCAGAAGAGGCAGCCAAGAGTAAGGGATGGACACTCCCCTGGGGCGAACATCCACTGAGTCCCTTAGATGTGGTTCATGGTTCTGTCGCAAGCACTGTGACAACAGTCTACCCCCTGTATGTTCTCTCTTTCCATCCAAACTCCCATGCTTTGGGGGACCCATTTCTGGGCTGGAAGTGCTGGTCACCATTTTAGAGTGAGAGGTAGAATTTCCCAACATTCATTTCCAGCTTTTATGCTGCATCACCCTAACTTCACTTGGCATTCTGCCCCACCCCCACCTCTCACTCCTGGCTGAGTTCTGACTTGTCAGAATTTGTGCAGGTTAGACTTTTTCCTAAAGGGTGGTCTCCTCAACATAGGCCATGGCTCCCTGCAGTGTAAAGAAGGGTGCTCTCTCGCCTGTGTGCAAGGTCTGAGGGCCTCCCTCGGGGAGGTAGCCATTGCTCACTCCCGCACCATAGCAACCGCACTCCAATGACCCTGCTTCCACTGGGTGCCGCGTAAACACTGATTTGTGAACACTCCAGTTTCCCAGAGGCAGACTGTGGCCTCGGTAGGTAGGCAGGCTAGTAAACTCCTTAGGTTTATCAAGGTGAAATAAATAGGCACATCAGCAAGAACTAGTAGATCCAGTTTATGCTTTCACAAAGCCTTTCCTAAGATTTCACACAAAGTCTGCTTTAAAAAAGTGAGTTCCTTGAGAATCAAACTTATCGTCATCCTTAATGTTGTGACGGTGATTCAACAGGTTTCCTTTAGGTTGTGAGACCTCCTCTTGGGTGTCCCCCAGCCAGACACCCAGCTGTGGTGCCGACACTACAGAGCAGCCCTCTGGTTTTACCGTTGGCACAGAACTGGCATATGCTGAGTCTGTAATTTGTTACAGAAAGATATACTCGGGTTCACCATAGTTATCCATTATTGCTAATTAAGGTATGTTTTTAAATAAAGTATAAATTAATGGGTAGAATAGCTTCCAGAGTTAAGATTAATATTTTTTGCCTGAATCATACAGTATTGTGTTGCCAGTGGTTTGTCCCTAACTATCACTTCCTTTGCAGTAACTCAAGACAGAACCCAGTAAGCAGGCGCTATATCCGTAGTCCTCACTTCAGCCTCAGGCGTCCCCCACCCAGGCAAGGCCAGAGCCCATGTGTGGATTCAGAGCACTGCAGCCTTCTTCTCTTAACCTCTTTACTCCCAGTAGCATAATCAGGAGGGTAGCCAGAGCTCCTACAGACACAGAGCCTCCTTATTGTCTGCTCTGTGCTGCGCATGTAAGGGAAGCAGCCAACCAGCACTGCCTCCCAGGTCGCCCTGCAGCCAGGTGATCTGCACTTCAGTGATGCTGACTGTGCCGCCTCATTAGCGTGAGTTGAAAATGATGACTGTTTTCTGCTCTTTCTAGCCCGCTGCTGGCAGTGTCCTTTGCCACTTGCTGTGCTGTTCCAGGAGTTGCCCTTCTCACCTGGGGGGTGAACCCACTCACAGGTGCCCTAGGGGCCTTCAACATCTTCCTGTATACCTGCTGTTATACCCCACTGAAGAGGATGAGCATTGCCAACACGTGGGTAGGAGCCATCGTGGGGGCCATCCCACCCGTCATGGGCTGGACAGCGGTCACCGGCAGCCTTGATGCTGGTGAGTGTCTCACAGTGTTTCAACTTCTTGCAACAGAACCGAGAGCTCTGTGGCTCTTCTGTGTAGGCATTAGCACATTCCAGTCAAAGGCATTTCCTTCCCTGGACTGAGGTACCAGGTATTAAGTTCCATTCATTCTGCACTAATTCTTCTGGCAGATGTGCTGATGTGGCTATCTGAAGCACTGTGAAAGGTAGCCATGTCTTTCTGGCTTCTCTCCTGGGTTTGGGGACAGCAGGTGGTGTGAGGAGAGCCGAAAGCTCACAAACTGAAGCCTGCTGATTCATTTGAGATGTCCCACGCCTTGGAGAAGGTGTCAGGGCTCTCTGCACCCCTGTACTGGGCTGTTCTCCGTGGGCAGGCCTCTTCCTCTATTGGTTCTCCACTCCCACAGAACCTGGTGATTTCCCCCTTATGAAAGGATAGACCATGTGCATAGTTCTAATTTATTTTTATATGATTTACTTAAATTGTTCATGCTGCCTACAATAAAACCATTGAAACATTTCTACATTTTTTTGGAGGTATGTCACAACTAAATTTGTGGGGTGAAAATAGCTCATTTTTACCATCTGTAAGGGAAGTTTCACAGTCTAATTAGTCAAGTAATTAGTGTTCTTGACCGACACTTAGGAAGGAAGTGGTGAGGTTTCCTGCAGTATATGTAGTACATATTTTTCACATGAGAGATCAAAAGGGAGTTGACCATAAACCATTGCCCTGTAAGCCACATTTCTGAAACCTTTTCTAAAAGCTCTTATGCTCCAGTTTGGCAGGCTGACAACAGTGATTACACCTTTAACTTCACTGTCTCTTGAATGGTTTTAATATCCTATAAATGTTGGCATTTCATGAATCCACAAATACAGTATTCTGACAGGACTTGTTTAATGTGCTCTGTGATAAACCTAAAACCACAGTCTCACCCATGGGGGAGACAGTGTTGGCAAAGTGGCGAGCACCAAGGTTCTGGAGCAGGTTAGGAGTCCAGCCTCCCCCTCCTCAGCTGGGACCTGATCTGACCGTGTGCACCGATGCCCCCTCCCCTCCCACATGGGATTGAAAGCATCCCTTCCCGTGGAGTTGCTGAGAGGATTAGATGAGTGCCTTTTAAGTATATCTCCTCCATATAGGAAGGGGGTTCTCCCAGTTCAAGAAAATTCAGGAGCTTATATCAGCTTGAAAATGTTAAGTGACTCATGTTTGTTATCTGACAGCTATTTGGTAGACTTTGAAGCACCATCCAGCTTGGTGGGAAAGAAGCTTGGGGTCCATTGTGATGTATGTCTTGGATGAGGGAGGTGATGAGGAGCCCATCCCTGGGTTAGGGGATACCTTCATTTTTTTTTTTTTTGAAGATTTATTTATTTGTGCATACAGAACTGGGGTACAGGCCAGAGGCTCAGGGGTGGTGAGAGGCTTCACCAGAGACAGAGCGGGGAATAGAACAGAGCAGGGAATAGAACAGGCAGATCGATGAAGTACACTGTTGAGGGGAGCAGCGGGCGGTTCAGGAGAGGTCTGCCACACCATGTGGTCACCTCGGGGGCAGGCGGGAATTGAACTCATGCGGAAGTGGCTTTAGCTTCTCAGTGCTGTGCTTTAACCCGCTGTGCCACCAGGGAGGGCCAGGATACCTTCATTTTTTGCCTGATTTGCAACGTAAGTTTTCAGAGTTCCCCTTATCTTCTCTCCTCTGTACCCCTCCAAACCTTTCTGGTGATTGTCAGGCGTTCAAAGTGGAGAGGGTGAAAGGCAGCGAGTTATGTGGGCCCTCCATCTTGACCTTGCACTCACTTGACCTTGCACTCACTCCTTGCTGCTCCACTCAGTGCCTTCTGGTGGAGACCACCCGCACCCTGCCAAGAAAACTGACCCGACACACACTGCTTCAAGCCCAGCACAAAGGAACGAAGCACCTGGAGCCGCCTGCTCTGTCTGGGAATCCGAGACAATGTCAGGGACCACAGCCTCAGCAATGGCCACTGCTAAGAGTCAACGAGCGCAGTCCCGGCCAGCTGTGGAGGGCTTGATCACCTCCATTGTGCAGGCTCCTAGCACCTGGCCTGTTACGGAGAAGTAGGGGCACTCGGAGAAGTAGGGGCTCTCGTGTGGTCCCAGGTAAGGTTTTCTTATGATAAATTAGAGCCCAGGGCTAGAGTTATATCCCCAGAAGCCACCAGAGAAAGAGCTTTGCAAAAAGTCTCCCTTCTTAGGAGTGCACTTTCAAGCAGGGGCCCTCCGTTGTTCAGGGACAGTGTGGATTTGGCTAATTATGCTACCACACATAATTTAAACTCTTTAAAGCTGGGAAGTATAGTCTCTATCTCATTCAAGTTTAGTCACTTGTATACAGACATATTAATGCAGGCCTGCAGGCTGAGGGCCAGCCTCGACCTTGTTTTAGGTACTGGATGAAAGTGTAGGTTCATCTTGAAATTGAGACCTATCCCCTCTCTCTCCCTGAACTGACCCTAGTGTAAAGTTGGGCAGTCTGAAACTTTTGTATGACCATTGATAAGTTCTTTAGGCAGTTTCTGGGGTTCATTTCTCTTATGTGCTTTTTCTTAAAGCTTAAATATGCCTTGCAGGACACACTACAATAACCTGGCTTATTGCCCCACAGAATTCTTACTTACCACAGGTCAAAATTTGTTCACACTTTGTCAAGGCCATTCATAAAGTATAGTATACCTCTTACTTCATTGCTTTACCTGGCTTTCTGTGACTGTGTCTGCTCAGCCCAAAAGCCACCTACCTAGCACTGTCACTGCAACTGCCCAGTTAGCCTCAGCTGTGGTTGCTAAGCCCTTTCCGGGGGCTCAGTGGATGATGGTCAGCTAAGGGTCCATATGAGGCGGAAATCCGAGTCCCACCCACTGAAGGGCCTGCCCTAAAGCAACTGGCTAGTTGACCAAATTGCAGGGTAAGTAGCTGCAGGAAACAGCTTGTGGAGAAAGGAGATGAAAGCTACCTTTGCCCCCTCCTTAGTGCTTCCTCTTTTTGTGGTTTTTGTGGTGGCTGCAGAGCCAATTAAAGCCTTCAGGGGGTCCCAGCACTGAAGATACTACTCTGCCTTTCCTGGGGTAGAGGTATACACCTTAAGGAAGGACATGGAGGGGTGATTTCCCCCCTCTAGGTCTCTGGGTTATTTTGGTTTTCCATCAGATAAAAAAAAAAAAAAAGAATTTCTCCTTGTTTTAGATGCCTTGTGCTGCGAGTCCCCAAATGTGTGCTTGATCTGCTCCTTCCTGGTAACTGAGGGAGGGTGAGGGGAGCAGGGTGTGAAGAAAATTAAACAGATTAACAAGTAGAAACTGTAAAAGCCAAACATATGTTAATGGTTCTTGATATTTGCTGTTTTATAGCTGCACAAAAAATATAAACAGCTAGCTTTTCTCTCCCCGCATCCAGCAAAGACCATTTCCAGTGGAATTATTGATTCAGGAGTGCTGCGTTGTAAAAGCCCGACCAGAAAGCACTCTTTGTGATGGTCATATCAATGAAGGTATTCAAAAAATGGGATTTTTACCTGTGTCCATTTTCCTCTGAGACCTGGGGTTACTTAGACTTTTTGCACCCATCTACTTAATTACCCAGTGGTTTTGGGGTTTGTTTGTTTTTGTAGCTTAACTGCTGTTAACAAAAAATATCACCAGTGCTTACCAAGTAAAACTCTGAAGGCAGGAGAGGGCTGCTTTCCGGTTCCCGGTTGAGCCAGCTCTAGTCTTGGAAAGGAATGTGTTCAGCCTGATTCTGCACCTTGGCCCAGTAGTGACAGAAATTCTGCCTGCCGCCTGGGGTCCTAGTGAGGGGTCTGCTGGAGGTTGAGGGCAAAAGGGACAGGCAGATAAGCGCCCCTACCTCCAGGGCAGACACTACAGCTTCAAGCTGGGCCTGGAGCCACACGCATTAGGCTTCTCAGCTGTGTTTATCTCTAGAGACTACTTAGTTTATCTCAGAGGCTTCAGGTCAAGTCCCTCCCCCTCCTCCTTGCCAAGGCCACCTCTTCTCCCCATTTCTTGAAAAGACTCAGATTCTATTTTGCCAGGTTCCTAAATTTGAATAAATCCCAGGTCTTGGGAGTTTCTAGAATGGGCCACATGACAGTCTTATAGGGTTGATTTGTAAATTGCCTTTGGTTTGTAATTCAAATGTTGTTGTGTGGTAAACATTAATTATGTCAGCCAACTTCAGTTACAAATGAGGACTTAGAAACCAGCTCTTATCAGGAAGTGACATTTGGCAGATGGATGGTTTTAGTAACAAAAAGAGAATGAGTTTTTTTAGCCTCAGCTGCTAAACTACCAAAACGTTAAATACTGTTTCTCTTTATTTACCTCCTTTATTCTAGGATGAGAAAATAAAATAGTATAGAGGGGATTTATTCACTCATTCATTCAACAAATATTTATTGAGGGCTTACTAAGTACCAGGCTCTGTTTAACCCAAGCACTGTTAGATTGTCTTTAAAATACCGCTGCAATTTGAAACCAAACTCAAAAATGAGTGTCTCTTCATTTTGTGTGAGATTTTGCCCTGACTAGCCTTTGAGCTGCAGATTAATTAAGATGAATATTTTAAAGCCAGAGTGAACCAAGAACATTTTTATATTAGCATGGTCAGGGCCCTTTTCAAGACAAAACAAAGCGACTAAGAACATGTTAAAATTACGTTACTAGGTTTGAGGTTGGTGGCATAATTGGATACTAGCTTTGTATGAGCAGCTCCTGTCAGGTCGGCTGCACTGGGTTCACTGTAGCTGATCACCTGATCACAGAGCTTTGGGGAGTGGGGCCAGTGCCTTCGGAAGACACGATAGCTAATGCCTCGGGTGGGTAGACACTGTGCCAGGGACAGAGCTCACAGGCTGTGAACAGAGTAATATTGGAGAGAGAAAGGTGGAAATACCTTCCAGTGCGAGCCAAGGGAGTAAGGAGCATTGAGGTTCTGAGCACCCACAGATGCTGGAACCATTCCTCGTAGGAGATTTTTTCAGA